TACAGTAATTACCGAATGAATAGACTTACAAACAGCCATCGCTGCGGTGGATTTGTAATCGCATCAATGGTTTGAAAGCTAAAGCAATTTAACACCAACTTATATAATGGTTGGGGCAGTGTATTGTGTGGTCATAAGCTGAAAACGTAGACGCAGAATTCCTTCCAAGGATGATTCGCAAGGCTATTGAAAAAAAATAACATTTTCACAACCTTTTCAATAGTCTTCTCCATTCCACTGCTCCATTTATTTCACTATGGCTTTACCACCACCCGTGACAACAGTGGTAGGTAAAACGCAATTGCTTCGATCAGATCTGTTACATTTTTTTTTCTAGATCTTTCGCTACAATACAACATATTTATTACCCATATTTATATCATTTTTCTTAAAACTCTTTTGATGTAATATATAAAATGAAAAACGTTTTACTTATTTACTGTCCCAATTTATAGCCACTTGAAACCATTTATTTATTACCAAAATATTTCAAACAATTAGAATTCTATATTCTTACACCTTCGTAAACCTACGCTCAACAACTCACCAACGCGAACGTTAGCAGAATCGACTCGACAGACACATTTGAATTTTTCGCTTGAGTGGATGTGGATGATGATTGGAACTGTGGTAGTTCCATTCGCGAATTTCATTTTAAAATAATTATTAATAATACTTTAATTGACAATTAAAAGCAATTAAACCAAAATTGGTAACCCCCCAAGTGCTGCTGTAATATTTACGGCATCTAAATATTGTCTAAAGAGTTTTTATTCAATATATTTTTAATTTATTACGTAAATAGCCAATGCTGTTTAACGTTCAACTCTATGTTGCTGGATACAGAAGGTCGCGAACGTTGACCCCACCCTCGCACGCGCACCCGCGTCATATCTGCATCGTGGCTATTACGTTAAATGAAATTAGATTACGAATTTTGTTTTGCAACCGTTGCAAGATATCAAACGTGTATTTAAGTACCAATAATATATAGGATTACAAACTGTTCCACTTTAATAATACAGACGACGACGGTAGCACGACTGTTACTGAAGTTCTACATCATCTCAGTTGGTATAACCAAATCCTAATATTTTTATAGGCTCACTCGAATGGTATGAATAATACTACTTGAAAAAAATTTGCCAAGCGAGCAAGCGGTTCACCTGATCTTGAGTGATCAACTCCGGCCTTGAATATCTACATGAAGAGAGGCAGATGCGTACCACCCTTAAAAATGGCCTAATACCTCCTCTTCACGCTTCCTCTTCTTTCTTGTATATAGGCGTGGTACTTTCCCGGAGGAACCTCCCCGTTGATGCAACAGCAGAAGCTGGTCCGGACACAGCAAAGATTAAATACCCAAGATAAGATCACACCTAAAGTAGCAAAAAACTGCATTCTGCAATCGCTGTGACACTAATATGGTGACAGCGATCATATAAATCTTATTGCGTTTTGTCTCTTTTTCCATCGAATAGCCTCCAAGTTTAACGGACTAGGCCCAAGTATAACTAGTAGAAAGTAAAGATTTTCTCGATTACCCCGTGCCACGCTTACACCGTTTATGAAGTGTCAATTTGACTCTAGCAAACTACGGAACAAGTAACGTGATTCTTGCTTTTCATGAACAATTAAACATTTATAACTATTTGATCGTAAAAAAACATCGCCATATAAAACATGATATGACACCAATTACGAAGGCTGCGGCCGGAGGATGAAAAAAAAAATGCAAAGTTAAACTTAACACTACTTATTTTATTATATAAAAGTTACAAGTTAACTACATTTCTAAGGGAGGTGACAATTGCTCGATGTTAGAGACAAAAGTGACGCTCGCTGCGATGCTTCGGACGGTCCCGGTGTCCAACACCTGTGTTGCGCAACCACTTCGTATCCGTGGGATTACGGGCGACGGCACGTAGCACGGAATAAGCAATCTCTTGAGAATGGAATGTCGTAGCTGGGTGGTTACAGTGTAGGCGATTTCCAGGATGTGTACCTAATTATGTAACATCTCCCCCCGTAGATCAGCGACTAATCGAGAAACTTTTTCGAGAGGGTTGCTGAAATATTCTTATGATCAACCCTCATTTCACTAGGGTTGATTCGCCTCAGCGCTGGAGTCGCCTCTACTATTCATTGGGGGCTTCCATAGCTCGATTTTCTTTTTGTAGGTGTCTTGCTCGGAGTCTCTTTTTGTAGGTGTCTTACTCGGGATCGGCGATACATAAATGCAGCACCAAGTGATGGTACATTTAACAGCATTAGGAAAATTGGAATAGTGCTGTGGTATATACTTGAATCGGTGATTTTCTTCAAGCGAGTAGGAGCTTCAAGGACTATTTTAGTGCTTAGCGCATGAAGATCTTTCAAATTCGGTGTGATAATCGTCCAGTGCTTCGAAAGCTTCTTTCTCTAAACTGACTTGAGTCAGTTTACAGTTATATTGGAGTTCCTGATTGATAATTACATATTGAATGCAGTCAGGATTTTCTTGACCACTGTATTGAGGCTTCAATTCGCGGAGATACAAAGCTTTTACTCTCGGAAATTCTGTCTCTATGTACCTAGAGGCCGTGCTAGAGATTGCTACGAAAGGTGAGGAGGGGATAAGGACGTCGTGATTTCTGTTAGGAAAATATCTAATTTATAGAGGTCGTAGGTTACAGGAATAATAATCGGGACCTTTATTACTATCTGTACTTGCTTAGCAACTGAGCTCTCCTTAATTATTTTATAAAAAATTCTATAGTCTATTTCAAAGATCTCATCTTTTGAATATACAATTTTTAACTTATGTATAATTTTTTTAATTTGATATAACCTAACTAACGAACATATAGTGCTCGATGCACCAATAAACGATAAAGTATTCTCTAGATTTATTAATTCTTCAGATAAGTTCTCAATGTTATCTCTTAAAATAAGAAAATGCTGTGCTAGATGGGCGTATTTTATTAAATCTGTTTCCCTATCAGTGTCGCTTTTCATAATTAATCTTAATGTTTTGCCTATTCTTCCCTGGTTTGATACTATACTATCTATCAGTTTTGAGCTACGCGAGTTCCAATTTAAACTTACATGTTTGTTAAATTTGGTTTATTGTTTAATCTGGATCGCATTTTCATATGTATGTATAGTCTAAGTTACCGCAAATACTTTTGATTATTGAATTGTTTATTAAAGCGGTCCGTATTCCGATCCAGGTCTAAGGGATGCCGTTTGAATTTATAGTACATGCCGCGGGACCAGGTACTTTGTTTAGGATCCCATTTTATAAGCTTTAGTTACTAACGAAAAATTGGCATCGGTTCTCACAGAGTGTTTCACTAGTTGGTCCCATAAGTTAATGAAACGAGTGAAGACGTTTGGATTTCCATCAAACTCGGGAAGTAATCTAAGGGCTTTGTAGATCTGATCTAAAAGTGCATCGCTCATTTTGACAGAGTCTGATGCTAATGTTTCGTAATCGCAATATAGTAATTCGCTATTTTCTATAAGTATATTTAAATTTCTACTACAATCTAGCTGCAAACTTCTAAGCAATCTCTTGAGAATGGAATGTCGTAGCTGGGTGGTTACAGTGTAGGCGATTTTCAGGATGTGTACCTAATTATGTAACACACCAATAAACATTCTCCGATGTGAAATATGAAAATACCTCAAACTTTTAACTTCGCAAATGTAATGCATTGATTTTCACAAATCATAAAAATATATGTGACAACCCACAGCGATTTGAACCAGAGATCTTAGATTTGAAAGCCAACTTCGTGACCACTGCGCCATCTATGATTTGAGCTCATGAATTACCGCAAAAGATCCAATAACACTGTTATTGCAACCGCAGGACTGATGTTATTAATGGGCGACGATGTTCACTCATGTTACTGTAATTACTTGCTCTATGTAAATGAGACCTCGACTTGAATATTACACAATATTCTATATTGTAATAAGACGACGCCCTTCGCTTGCATATTAAGCTGAAGCCCCGAGAAGTCAATTTCATCGATCACAATGCCACGGTTGCATTATAAGTCGCTAGTATTAGACCACCTTTGCTTTTCTATGCTTTTCCAGTTGAAAGAACCACGGCATTGTAGGGAAACCGAGTGTTAAAGGATTTAATATTTGTTTGGGTGAGTTCAATGCCCTTTAAGGTTGACGAGACATTGGTAACACTACTGATGGATGTCCACATGTAGCGGTCATCATCACCGTAAATATATCTTACACGTGATGTATCACGGTGATGATGACCGCCGTGTCAAATTTACTTCTATCAGTAAAAGAAATTGATAAATTTTATCCACTCTTCTCTTGCTTTACCTAGAGGATTGAAGATATGTAATAAAGTTCAGAGTAGTCTGTCCAGATTATTTTCTTTTTCTTTAGAAAAGCCCCTTTTTCTTTAGAAAAGCCTTTTCTTCTGTTTGATAATACCCCCTCTGTTATAGAGGCATGTGGAACACATATGTTGGAACACATGGAGACCCAGCATTGGGCAAAGGCCTCCTTTGTACAAAGGGTATTATATTGCTCCACACGGCCCCAGTAGATGGGCGGACTTCACATATACACAAAATGCTTTTTTTGTTATTATTCGAAAAGGTTGCAGGTTTCCTCGCGATGTTTTCAATCACCGCGGAACACATGATAAGTCAGTAACTAAAATTAACAATTTCATTGGTGCCGGCACCGAGGATCGAACTCAGGTTACCCGAGTATATTGAATTAAAACACAGTTATATAGCTCACTGTGTTTTAATAGTGAGGGAATAAACATTCCCGTGATAGCTCAAGTGTAAAATTATGTATATATGTAGCGTGTTGCAAGCTTATGTGTTTACATAAGCTTACAAGTAATCCCGAAACTAATTTAGGTCACACTAAGACTTGTTAGGGGCGATTTGAACATATGCGGTGTCGACACCTGTAACTTAGCATATGCGCTGTCATCGATTGAATAGAAGTTATTGAAGATAAAGTCAATGTCGTATTTACTGGACTCGTCCGGTCCGGTCTCGATGTCGGGTCAAGAACGAGTACAGCTTGTTAAAGACAATCAAGTTTTGGCTTCATACATATCCATAGAGAAAGCAAAAAAGGAGGGATTGGCGCATATTAAAATAATAGGTTTTATAATAATGACTAATGAGACCGGCAATAAACTCAACAGTTGCTCTTTCTTAAAAGGATCAGTTTACAATAATAACATAGGTAAAATAAATAGTCTTATTTTACTCTACGTGAGTATCAACAGCATTAACTACACACATTGGCGAGATATTCCGAAATGGTATAATTTGTTTTAGCCATAAGTTAACTTTTAATTTTGCGTTTGAATTGATCATTAGTGGCAGACTTAATAATGCCTGTGGGTTTTTATTACCTATACATGCGCACACTTTGTCCAATGAAAGACCGATTTACTTTTTGTAGACGGCGTAGCTATGACAATGGCGTAGTTAGTTTCATTTCTTTAAATAACCACTACCATATTTATCAAAACCAACAACAAATTATTAAATAAATATCATTCATCCATTCTTATTACACCGGAAAAAACCGTTACATATGGACAAATGGTAGTTTGTAGTACCTACCTGTGTTTTACTACAAATCACAATAGTAAGCACCTCGAGCGAGACTAGAATTTCCTCGATACGATCATAGGCCGCTGACAGACGCGTTTCGTTCAAGAAACACCGAAGCGGTTGCTTGCAGTACTCTATTTACAAAATATTTTTACGCTGTTTATTCTACGCGCGAAAAAACCTAAATAGCGCTTCAATTCCTAAACGCATATCTCACGACGAGCGTTAACACCAGCGTCTGCTAAACATCAGGCGGTCTCAGCTCAGTAAATTCGCTAACGATGATATTTTTAAGTGCCTTAATCTATCAATTGCCCCCGCTGGCTAGACAGTTGGATATATAAAGTGGCAGGTTTGTTCCGTATGGCCCCTTTACATTACCTGTGCTGGCGTATTCCAACTGATTCTAAGTATTTGTTAGAAATTATATTTGACTTTCCATGTACCAGTGGCTTTGACCTATTGTTGCCGCCCGAAACAAGTGTTTCCATGATTTATATAATGCTCGATTGAATTTGGATATTTTTTAAAATACAATAAATCTCCATAACTTTACTATACTAAATCATCACCATAATCATTCATATTATATGTCAACAGCTTGTGCAAATTACTTTACTTAATTTACTCTAGCTCATGTCTTTGCTCTCAGTTCGTAGACTATTTAAAGCTTCATCAGACGATAACGGACGCACGGACGATATTCAGATCCCAGGAATATCTATATAAACTCCTTTAAGCTTCAGAAGAAAAAGAGAACTAAAATTTACTTTTTTCTTGTTTAAACAAACAAGCAGTTCACATTTGGGATACAATAATACTAAAAATATAATTAGTTTCAAAGTTTTAATACATTTTGAACATAAATATATATCTGGTATGTTGGAAAAATGTGTTTGTAACATAAATAACGGCTCCTTATATACGGCTATACTAATGATGATTATTTACTAATGAAGCACCTCAGAAATATACCGAGAATAATATTTTTTTTCTAGTGAATTGCAGCTATTTATTTATGGTAGATAAGCGTTGGAATTGCAATGTGCATTTTACTTAAGCAACTCGGTAATTGACCGCAGTATAAAATATTGAAAATTCCATGCACATTAGGTAAGCTTGATTAATATCGATAAGGTGCGATTTGCAGTAATTCAAAATGATTACGCAGTACCATTCTTTGGCGGTTCAAATTGCTATTAATTGAATTACGCAGCACTACACTATCCATTATCCACAAACCACTGAAAACAAAAACAGTTCCATTCACATATAAGTATTTTAAGAAGCGGTAAAGATTATTAAAGTAGCCGCATGCTTTGAAATAAACGAGGTTTATAGAATAGCGGTAGTGAAGGTCATTAAAGCAGAATCAGCATGATTTTAAATAGGAGAAGTTTTTTTAATGCGAGTTTTGTACATTGAGAAAATTGGCGAGTGAATGTGGAGCAAATCAGTCGACCAACACGCGGTTTTCTACATAGAAATCATCAGTGTATGCGACACGGCCGCGCGGGTCGCACGCTATTGTAAGCGAACGCTCTTACCGGAATGATACTCTCGTTTAGAGTGGACCGTATTAACTCGAATCGGACACAGTGATAAACTTTTGTTAGCGTCCCGCTCTCCCAATAAAGTGAGTACAATGCAACGCATCCGCGTCCAATCGGTTCTTGGGCATGTGACGCTATTATTTAATGCAACGCCGAAACCAGTGTCATTATCTTGACATTTTGAAATGTATTAACACCTTCGATTATTATTAAGTTGTGGATTTTTGAATGCGGTAATTGATAAATAGTTGTGGGCGGCCAGTCATATAATGGAATGCAACGATTCTCGTAAATAAAACAAGTATCCGAATGGATTTGTTTCAGTCGTTAAAATAGAATGGCCTTTTAGTCTGTTGTCGAGTTAATATTAATACGTACGGCCAAACTGTTAACTCGTTTGTTGTTGGATTTTTATTCACTCGTTTGTTTATTTTTACACAACGAAAGCAATAAAGGTCGCGTATAAAAAGCGACAAGCGAAAAACAATGGGCAACGTTTATTTTGGCAGGTGGGATGCCGAAAATAGGTCGAAACGGATTGGTTCATAGTCCGATTAGTCCAATTGGGTTATCTAGTTCATGATCGCATCAATGGATCCCCGAACAATATTTCTGATAAACCGGGAGTACTATTTGGATGCCGTCCAGGTATAAAAATACAATGCTTAGAGTTGTCTCGATGCAAGTCTGCCTGGGACTCGACGGGTGTTACATCCAGGGCATTGATATGCGGCGAATGTGTCTGCCGCTGACGCGAAGACGCATATTTCGCATTCCCCAACCCAACCGCTATTCTGTATCTGTGGCAGCGCGGTCTTAGTTCGCGGCCAGAAAGCGAGCGTCTTTTTTTTATTTTTTCAGATATACAAACTTTGTTGAAAGCTGTTTGAGTTATTGAATTGGAAATGTTTATTAGCTGCGGTGTGGGCACTTTTCTATCCATGTTTTACGACTGATTGTTTAAGACTGGCCACACACGATACTTTTATGAAGCACGCGTAGAGAACAATAGGAAATTTAAAAGATGTATATAAATATTATTATTAATTCAATAGTTTTCTAAATTGTTCATTGTATTCAACGGTTATTTCGATATTTGTGATCTAAACTCGTAAATAAGTTATAAACTTGGCTCATAAACATTGCAGAAATTTCCTTTTTCATCTAAAATGCATTCTTGTTAAGAGCAGCCAGCGTTATAAGTCAAATTTCTCTTTTACAATCATGAAGATATCTTTTTTTTTTAGTAATAAATCAAAATATAAACAAGAAGTTCAATTTAAATTAGGAGCCTAACTTCGTTTCGGGTTCAATTTTTGTACATTGAGTTAGATAAGCATACATTCTAGTATACATTTTGCAAACAGTGACAAATAATTGTTACCCTCCGAAATATACGTACAGCGTTGGTACAATGCAGGGGAAGCTTAATTTCCGGTCTGGTATTTAGACACCAAAGCCTAGTAGTGTGCAATTTAATTATCGCTATTTTCCACACGAAAATGACTTTAATCCTGACGCGCACGTTAAAATAACACAAAAACTAATGTTTGTTCCAATGTTTAAACTTTAAACTAATGTTTAATCCAAACGAGTAGACGGTTCACCTGATGTTAAGTGAATACCGCCGCCCATGGACATCTGCTACACCCGAGGGTTACAGACGCGTTGACAACCTTTTGAGAAATTGGGAAAATTGTTATAAAATTATTAAAATTATACCGCTTCAACTAAAACTAAATATTTTATTGTATAATCCATCGCTTCTGTCCGCGTTAGTTTATTTTTTGTTTTCACCGTCAAAACTTTCGTCGGTGACTCGCTGGCGTAACGCTGTTTTTTCGAAATTGGTGACGGATGTATTCGCACCAACACGAAAATTCAAAATAATATCGTAGCGTTGCACTTGTACGATGTCATTTACTCGTCATATAACATGTGGATCCTAGTGGTGCGATATTGCATGCTATTGTACTTCAATTGTCGACCGCGCAAATTGGCAAATAATTGAAGGGGTCACTGACCCGACATCAAGGATCTTCGCGCTGTTTAGCTAGACGTCCAGACTATTCGCTGTTCAGACTATTTGTATGTACTTTCTAGAACTTTCAACCTTTCGTGTTAAAAAACAATTCGTCTCTTTGTCAGACTGTCTGCTGGTGGCTTGTAACATGGCTCCGATTTGCATAGTCTTTTATAAGCCTTGGTTACTATAAATTAAAAGGTAGCCCAATCAAGCCGAGCCGCGGACATTGATAATTCAGATCATTAAATATATAATATAATAACGTAATTTTTATGAGATAAAAGAGTTCAAACGAACAGAATATCTGTGAAGCGGTAGTTCTACTGTAAACGTGGGGCCCCTGGATGTAAAAGTAGAAGGAGAGAGGAATGTCACTGTGGTAAAGCCGTCTACTAAACGGCTCTACCACAGTGATATTCCTCTCTCTTTCTATTCTAATGAAGAGTATCATGAAGATTTGAACACTGATGTAACCACTGGTTGGTTACCGTTGATACATTTTCTACAATATTGCACGTAGAGGCATACACATTTTATGCCATTGGGCCTCAGCGTGTTTTGAAAGTATACCATGAATCGTGAAATAATATATTGTTTATCATAACTTCAGTAGAGGTCTTTAACAACTACATTGGTGTAGTCACCGGGATTTGTTATTACAAATAAGTTCCAGACCGGTGACTAAATTTCCAAAACACTATCTGGCTCATGGAGCATGTTTAGCATTGTGAATTTTCAAAGCATAGATCGACGACACAATTGGCTTAGTGACCCTATCTCTTACGTCAGAGGGTGTGGGTTCGATCCCCACTCCAGTAAAATATTATACATAATTCATAGTATTGATATTTATAAAATATAAAATATTTTACATAGTTCATATTTTGAACATAGTGTTGAACAAAGTATGTTTATAATTACATAGTAAGTTAGTGACGGAAATATTTATTTATTTATAGCTAAAGTGATCTGATATTTATGGTATTTCAAAAATCCAAGAGTTGTGATACTCGTAAGTAACGTACCTGTTATATAGTCATTTGTTATGTTCACTTAACTTGAACTTGTCTTTGTTACACAAGCATTACAATGGGAAAGGACAACCTTGACCGAGACCTTTACGTAGTAAACTTCGAATTCGAAAAGGGGAGACCATTAATCATATCGCATTATTCGTAGTTTGCATCTATTTTCATTTTTAAAAGTTTATGGAGTACGGTTTATTATCATCATCATGCTAATGCCCTTATCTCACCTGGGGTCGGCACAAAATGTGAATCATGTTGTAAGCGGTTTTGGCTATGTTTTTTTCGACTGGCCGCCTGCCTGACGTCAACCTTGGGAAACAAGCACCCAGATCCGGGACAATTATTTGTGGGTCACACAAATACTTGTCCCGCGTGGGAATCGAACCCACGACCCTCGACGCCGAAGCCAATAGCTTAGGAACGGCGCCGTCGAGTCATCGAGTACGGTTTATTATGTGGAACGAAAAAGGGGTTAACCGGACGATATTACAGTACTTTTATTATATGAAAAATAGGAATGAATTATTTCATATAACGTATATAAAGTATTGAAATAAATAATACGGTACTGTTATTATATGAAGAATGAAGTATGTCGTATAGCGTTAAAGTATCGAAATAGAAACTTTATATATATAATTTTCTCTTCTAGTCAAAAGCTTTTGTACATAGTGTATAAATTTTTATCACCTCACGACCCCACAATCAGCCCACAATAGTTTCACGTTCTGGTAGATAGACTTTTTGATTTCTAAATTTTTTTGTTATTCTTTGTAAAATATGCAGGTTTCGTCACGATATTTCCCTTCACCGCTGAGCATGCGATACTTCAGCACTTAAAACTAACAATTTCTTGCATCGGTATTTGAACTCAGGTTGCTCGAGTACATTAAATTAAAAACGAGAGCCCGGACATCAGCTATCACGGCTATCACGGCTACCATTGTTCAGTATAGTATAACTTATAATTACACGTTGCATAAGGTATGATAATGTCGTGTTTGACTTTTATGTTCGGTAAGGCAAACAATCTCCACATTTCGATTGGGGATAATAACGACAAGGTTTTTTTAAAAAAAGTGCAAAACATGTTATCACTTGAGCCTCTAGCCTGCGAGAGTTCAGAACTGCATTACATACTGCAGTGTAATCCCCTCATAGTTAACTTAATAGCTATTGTTCGAAATGATGATAAGCATTGTACAAATATTATTTTATTCTCAAAAAGCAAAATATAACAATAAAAATGTGACAAAACGAGACAAGAACTATAATGGCTGTCGTATACCCTACTACCTCATATTGGTTTCAAATATCTAGTAGAGTAGCATTGGGTAACAGATAAGGCTAATGCTGGACAGATAAAATATTCGTAGATTGGACAAACCGCTAACGGATTAAAACCTCTTTCAAGGTAACCGGCGATGGGGTCGATGTTCAGGAGTGAGGAGATGGTGCTGTGCCAACTCTTCGTGCAACCGGAGGCCGCGTACATATCGATGTACGAATTGGGGGAAGCTGGGATAGCGCAGTTCAGAGACGTAAGTTCAACAATCAATCGCATGGAACATTAGACGGGGCCCACTATATTAAAGGGTGGCAACGCATCTGCAACCCTACGGGTGTTGCAAATGTCTATGGGATGATACAATTTGAATATTATATATAAATATGTAACTTTATTCAAATAACATCATGCAATAATATTAGTAATTTAAAAAAATCGTAGTGATGCTCTCCATTCCTAATTTATTCAGACATTTTTACCTTAAAACGTAACAGATATGCGACGCTATACTTCAATCACCTATGATTGTAATTAATCAATAAAAAAGTTTATTATGTACCTAGATCCAAACCACAACTGTGCAATATAGTACGACTTTCCCACCACTTAACTCTGCCGTCATTCTCTATGACGCGAATCAGTCAAAACATTAAAACAATGGCCATTACTGCGGTCAAATAAACAAAATATCGTATTGCCACATGGTTCTTATCGGTGCCCATTTCGTTTGCATTCCCAACAATCGCAGCTCTAATTAGATAGGCGTGTTTAAACAAGCCATTTCCTTTCGTAATACACGCTTCCTCGAATCTTAACCCTAATAATGTATCCAAAGACACACTTTAACTGAGGCTATTAAGCTAAACTTATAAATAGAATATTAACTTTTTGATGCATGTTCGAGATTCGGAACAGAGATTTTTCATCCCCAAAAAATAGGTCATTGGGGGACGACAAGATTATGTGTAACTTGCAGTCTCGGCAAGCCGGTCTATATAGAAATATCCAAGACATTAAAATTTGTAGAAAAAGTACGAAAAGATTGTAGCCGCTGCAATATAGATAAAAGACGTTAAGACTTTCGTCAGTGTGGCAATCAGCCTTTTAAAATAGTGACTAAAGCGTCAGGCCGCGAATGCCGAAGACGTGGGTTCGATTCCCACAGCGGCGACAATCTTTTCCTACTGTTTCTACAAATCTTAATGTTTAATCTTAAGTGCAGAGATTAGCACTATAAAAAAATTTTAATATACAAGACTTTTAAAGCCTGTAAATTAAAAAAAAAAACAATCAATAATCAATCGATAAATATTATGCTAAAGGAAACGGAAATACAATAGAGTGTAATATTATTCTTTGTCATTTATCAAATCCGTCAGCTTCTTGGGTGTATCATATTGTATCATCTTAAATTTACACGAATACGTGCCGATAAAACTACTTTGGATCATGAACCATGAACTTTGACACATGATTGCTTCCACAGGTTCGGAACCCGGTGTGCGCTAATTAAAATTGGAACGCGATAAGATGCATAAAACAGTTTTGTTAACATACGTGTATTATCTGAAGTTACCGATTTGTGTATCGGTAGTGATGATTATCAATACACGGTTTTTTCTCGTAACTAAATCACTCAGTCACGTAGAGATTACTTAAATATATCTATAACACGGTACATATAAAACTTCATTAATATTAGTTTTTTTGTGAGAAGATGGCAAGCGAGCTGCTACGTGGCGCTACGGTGGTAGGGCCACGTAGCAGCCTCGGCTGTTGCATGAATGGGCAGGCCCGTCCGGGTTAGTACCACGACCTCACAGAAGACCAGCGTAAAGTGGAAGTATGACAAATACTTTCGCGTTTCGTCTGGTGAGTGAGGTAGCCGGAGCCCAATTTACATAAAGTTGTCAACGCCTCTGTAACCCTCGTGTGTAGCAGATGTCCATGGGCGGCGGTATTCACTTACCATCAGGTGAACTGTCTGCTCGTTTGGCAACTTTTCACATAAAAAAAGCGAGCTAGCGGTTGGCCTAAGATTCATTGATAACCGCCGCCCATGGACAGTCGCTACACCCATAGGGTGCTGCGACGGCACCTTGTAATAAAATAGTTCCTTACTCACTAGACGAAACGCAGAAGTTCTAACACCTCCACTTCACACTGGTCTTCTGTGAGGTCGTGGTACCTACCCGGACGGGCCCGCCCATTCGTGTGACGGCGAAGACTGTTGCATGGCCCTGCCACAGTTAAGTAAATTAAAAAAACGTATAATATATGTAATGATTCCTTAAATTAACCCAAGTACTGCACACTTGCCATATTTAATTTTGGTTTTAATTCCCGACGATCAGAATACCTGACTGAGTCTACAATAAATAAAGTAAAATTTACGAAATAAAAACATACATGATTATAAAGACAAAACATATGTTTTGTTCATGTGAGTTGATAAAATAAATTTATAGTGAAATGTAAATTACATCAACTGCAAAGATTATATTCATGGTCAACGTTTATTGGCAGATTGTTTAATTAATTATGACCAAATCAGAGATAACAATTTAATAGTAAGTGAGCGATTAATTACTATAATAATAATCTCAATGGATTAAATAGACGATTTACAATGTTTCGTAAAAGTAGCATATTCTTAACATAAGCTGTAATGAATAGGCAGACTTCACATATCTATACAGTATCTATACAGGTAAATAAAATTTGAGTGTCTGTTTGTAATATTAAAATAACCGCTTTTTGCTAAATGCATATGGATTTATACACGATACATATACCAAAATAACATTTTTTACAATTTTTGTCTGTCTGTCTGTCTGTTTGTTCCGGCTAATCTCTGAAACGGCTGGACCGATTTGGACGGGACTTTCACTGACAGATAGCTGATCTAATAAAGAGTAACTTAGGCTACTTATTTTAGATTTTTTTTTATTTTAAATTCCACGCGAACGAAGTCGCGGGCACAGCTAGTTTTATAATAAAATATGTATTTTCGTTTTCTATTCGAAAATATTCAGGTTTTCTCATGATGTCTTTCTTCATCGCTAAGCAAAGAGGAGACCTGAGAAGTAATCACTTAAAATTTCAGGTAACAATTTCATTGGTGCCTACATCGAGATTTGAACTCAGATTGCTTATTACATTGAATTAAACACGAGCCCGACAACTGAGCTATCACGGCCCCTGGTTGTAGGTAGCTAACGGAACTTCAAATATCTTTTCAACCAACTTAAAGGAGAAGGTTCTCAATTCGACTGTATTTTTTATGTCTGTTACCTCAGAACTTTCTACTGAGTGGATTTGGATGATTCTTTTTTTATTTGAAAGCTGGTTCCTATGTGGTCCAAAATTAGTTTCAATGGTTTTGGATCTTGGTCTCCGGAGATACTTAGGGAACTCCTGAAAATCAATTATAAAATGAGAACAGAGCGAGATATTTGAAGACGGTTTTGTTTTTATTTAATAAAAATATGGACTTGATCCGAGTTAAACTAAGGGTGTTTATACAACGTTGTTGAACACAGTTTAAATCTTGACTTCCTAATAGCCTATCTAGTGCCTACGCGATGCTCGAAAACTGCAAACAATGATGCACTGCAGTTTAAATTCTACCTTTATTCATGCCTATATTTAATCAACCTTGATGGAAAGAAGTGTTAAGACAATGTAAATAGACTATTTTACGAATCTTATACAATCGTTAATAGTTAGTAAAACTCTAAACGACATTTTAAACAAGTTAAACTGAGAAAGTCGTTCTATAATCATGAAAATCGTAACTAATAAGTTTAGTGTTACAATATATAATATAATAGGATCAGGGCCGTGCCTGGGTATATGGCCGCCTGCGTGCCAGTCTGTATGGCCGCCCCCAGGATAACATTAAAAAAAACTACTTTAATTTTTAATGTTTATTATTTTACACAGGGCATCAAACCGGGAAAAAATCAGTTTTTGGTTAACCGAAATCGAGAACGATAAAAAAACTTTTTAAATCGAGAAAACTTTCGAAATCGAGAACGATAAATAAACTTTTTATTAAATTTCACCACACGAACACACAACTAAAAGTTTTCAGGAATTAAGCAATTTATTTTTATTCGTTAAATTAAAGAATTTAATAATATCGGATCACACACAGGACACAAATAACGATTTATCCTCGCTAGTCTATAGACTAATACGACTAATAAGACGAATAAGACCGCTTACGCGACGCCGGTCAATTGAAAAAACTATTTCGGCTCGTCGCTCGTGCAATGTTCGAAAAAATTCGGATTCGCTGCATGACTAGGTATATAAATACTACAACCACCTAATCAGTTTTTATACATTTCTTATTTCTGAGAAACTCTTTCTAGATAGATTAGATTAGAGAAACTGTTTTTACTTCGTATCTTAATGAAAACAAACCGATTGTATTTTTGCCCAGTAAACAACTTGTAACGATTTGGCCGCCTCTTAATTTCGGCCGCCTGCGTGCGGTGCACGCAATGAACGCCCGTCAGGCACGGCCCTGAATAGGATTCATACTCGTAAATGTACGCTTATCAATACAAAGGTCAAGAACGGGATCGTAATCACAGATAATAAATTAACAATAATTTTAATCAAATATCGTCATAGAGTGTCTTCTTAATTACGATACTCCTCATATTTTATATCTTCTGGTCCTATTTTTATAAACAACTAGGTGACGGTGTGGATTGATTTAAGTAGATATATATAAGGAGTCTCATTGACTGTTATCTTTTGTATGCTGTACCGTGGCACTTGGGAGGCTATATCCTTCTTACTCATGATACTTTTGAACATAAGTAAATTTTGAATTATTTTTAAATTATTGTATCAAGATAGGACAACAGAAAATGGGGGTCAGCACTTAAAATTAACAATTTCATTGGTGCTGGCATCGAGGCAAGGCACCGAGGCAAAGGCGAGCGTCCGGACACAGAGCTATCACGGCTCTTAGTACACAATCTTACTGTGGTAGGGTCACGCAACAACAAACATTCTTTGTTGTTACACGAATGGGCATGACCGTCCGGGTGAGTACTACGACCTCATAGGAGACCGGCGTGAATTGGAAGTGTTACACTTCTGCGTTCCGTCTGGTGAGTGAGGTGGCCGGGCCCAGTTTATTAAAAGGTGACAACGCTACTGCAACCCTACTGGTGTTGCAGATGTCAATGGGCGGCGGATAAAACTTAACATCAGGTGAACCGCCAGCTCGAT